TGGGGTATATGGGGTAATATTAGGGTTATATGGGGGTTATATAGGGGTTATATTGGGATAATGGAAAAGAAAAATGGAAACTACTATTTAGGGTTTAGGGTTTATGGTATAGTCCCCCTTCAGTAGATAGAATATGGGGTATAGGGGGATCTTTTTGTAATATACCCAAATCCATATTCTATCTACTTAAGGGGGACTATACCTCAAGGGCTCAATATTCAGCGCAGAATTTGAAGATGTCGAGTGCAAAGAGATTTTGCAAGGGGTACGCATGAATAATGAATGATGGTAATGATATGTAATGGTTAATCCAATGGCCATATGATGCGCCCCCATCCCTGTCTAGAACGTTCACATGACCCTAATCAAGCACTGAAAACCATTCTCCACGCAAATACCACTACCCTTCCAAAGCCTTCAGATCATTTGCTTGAGCAGTTGGGACCTTAAGGGAATCTACAAAACTCACCTGACCGAAAACTTTGTGAATGTGCTTCAGCTGCTCATTGAGATATTGGTAACCAAAAACGAAAATGACTTCAGGACGCCTACAAAATCTGGTGTGAAGGGGCCTCTGGAAGCCTGGTAGCAACCACGTTGGGGCAGTTTTGCAATTTGAGTTCCAGTTGCGTCTCCCAAACGTCCCATCTGCCAGCACACGCCATTTCATATAAAGTGGGGTTCATGTCGCATGTCTTTGGAAGTGAATGGGCGATGCCTGAGAACTTGGATCAGATCTAGGAGGAATGGACGACCCTACAAGGAGATCCTTTGAATTATATCCGTGCCAACTAGAATGCTTCCCTGTCATCGAAATCTTGTGACCTTTATTGCCCTAAAGCGAGGAAGAAGGGCTTACGAAGATTCACATGTATGACCCAAGCAGCACCAAGAGAATGCGTGAACTCAAACAAGAAAGGTTGCCTGTGCGGAACTACATGAGGCCTCGGCAGACACGATGCGAGGTACGCCTAAATCATAAGCCCTCGGCCCTCGGCCGTCTGAATTCTATGGGATCTCGTCGCATCTTAAGTATCGTCATCCATGGCTTAGGTAGGTTTGCCGTTGCCGGAGCAAAGTCCAGACTTGGCTCCAACTGCAAGGAGCAAAAAAAACCGTAAGCAACCATCTACATGACCGATATACATACAACCTAGTCTCTTTTCCGCTACAAGTTCCCAAGGGCGTGTACTGTAGGGCCGGAATAATCGCTTGATTACCTTCCAATGTCATCTGAGGTCTGTTCGAGGTACCACCATAATTATTACAAAGCAAAATCTGCAACCATAGTATTGATGATTATTTCTATAAGCCCCCATATAGTCCCATTCCTTGTGCCATTGAACTTTCCATCTGAGAGTCCATCATCCCATAACCCCGAACCCCAAATATTGTAGTAGCTCCAAGTTTCTTTTCCAATTCCTCAATACTTTGGCCTCTACATTATGCCCCGCCATCACGCTAGCACTTGTCACAAGAGGCCGAAGCCTCACTTTTCGTGTCGATGGCCTCTGCAAACAGTTGGTTTCCGACAATTCTTGGGATTCATGTTGAAGGTATAAGGTTTGGCGGGTGAATGCACCGCCACTTGAGAAGGGCGGGCGGCAGCAGAGGGCATCTGGGGATTCTGGGGGGGCCTTTTAGTCCAGCGCTTACAGGATTGAGGTTTCAGAGTTTATGGCGTTGAAATCAGGGGCTTTTGGAAGTCTCCAAGTGGCGACTTTATGGATTACTTGAGAGGCTGACATGATATAAGCCAAGCTGGGATTGTATTCTACATGAACCACCCCTTGGGGCAAGCTTGGGCGAGGTTGTTTTACCCTAAATTCAGGCCCACAGTGGCGCCCAGCTCAACTGGTTCTTGCCCTGTCAGTTTAAAGCTTTTGCGGTGAAGGATGGTTTGGCCTCAGGGTTTGGCGTAGCTACGCATGAGCGTTAACGGATAGGTACTATATTGCAGAAACCGAAAAACTGCCAAGATCACTTTGGGGCATCTTTGCAGTGCCCCAGGCCCACTATCATAAGTATACAGGCCTATACTATGATGTATGAGGGGCAAGCATATGCCAAAGTCAAGCAAAAATACCATGCGCCAGTCCCTTCACGTGCGTCATCTGGCAACTGCCCGAACTGATGCTATTCAAAGGTATCTGCCATTCGTACATGCCACTCATATCTTGACAGGACCCACCCCCACCCTGCAATCGTGGTATAATAGGAATATAAGAGGACCCCAATACAATCCTCCTTATCCCTTGTAGTCACTCTTGCTGGGTGGGGGGGGCCACCTAACTCACACCTATAAACTCTGTGCTCCCGCATCCAACCACTTTATTGTCAATTTGATGCATCGTTGGTTCAGATATCACTGCCCTGCACATGGCCAGAAGCCTTAGCAAAACATGCGACCCATTGAAGCCAGTCACAGTCATGGTACTATGATTCTTACTTCTTTTACTGTTGCTACTACTTTTATTATTATCATTACTATTTTTGGTGAGGATGTCAACCACATTGAAGTCAGCATCGAAGAAGAAAGGGTTAAATCCTTTGATATTTACATGCAGGCTGTATGGTTGGGTGTTCGCTGCATGAAGTCTCCGCATGGCTGGCCGCACCGGCATCCAGGAGCTGTACAACTTCCGCATGCCCATCTGCGTGCATTAACACTGTTTTGCCCTCCGCATCCTTGAGGCCCACGTCGGCAGCAGCTTCCAACAACAGTCGTGTAGTGGTCACCTGACCTTTGGCAGCTGCGTACATTAAAGCCGTGCGCTGGAAGCTGTTCTGGCGGTCCTTGTCGGCACAAGCTTGCAAAAGAAGCTGCACGATTTCTGTATTGCCATGTTCAGCTGCGCTCATGAGAGCTGTCTTGTGACCTGCCATGTCCTTGTAAGCCCCGGCTTCTAAAAGCAATTGCACGATCTCTACGTGGCCATTGCCAACTGCGTATACCAGAGCTGTGTCGTTGTCCTGACCGCGCAGATCCTTTTCAGCACCAGCTTCCAACAGCATCCGCACCATCTCCACATGGCCATTCCATGCTGCGTGCATCAGCGGTGTCTGCCAACAGAAGCCTGGTTGGTCCTTGTCAGCACCAGCCTCCAAGAGCAATCGTACGATCTGTGTGTGTCCATTGCTAGCGGCGTAAATCAGAGCTGTGTCGTTGTACTGACTGCGAAGATCCTTGTCAGCACCAGCTTCTAGTAGCACCCTCACAATCCCCTCATGACCTTTTGCAGCTGCGTGCATGAGTGGCGTCTCGCCACGCTCATCACGAAGGTCCACAGCAACACCGGCCCTCAACAGCAGGCGCGCTGTGTTTGGCAGGTGTGTTTGTGCGGTACAAACCTCCAGCAGCTCGGCCCAAGCCGTGCTGCGAAGCTCCGACGTAGAATCCACGGGCAAAAGCACGAGCTGTATCTCCGCAGCACCCTCCAGCTTACTGGAATCATCCAGGATGGTAGCGTTGTGCAGAAGCTGCTGCATGCAGAAAGGCAAACCATGCAGCTCGCGTAAGTAACATTTCAGGGCCCTTACGTCTTCGATCTCTTCCGCGCTTATAGCAGCAAGCTCTTCGCCTGAGACGCTCGAGACGCGGAGAGTTGGAGCCATGCGGTGGTGAAGCAGCCCCTAATGTAATCTTAGATTAGTGCATCGAACGCTGAAAAGGTGCTTGCTGAAGTGCCTGGGCATGGCTGCTAAAGGGCCGCTGTATGCTGCCTTATGAAGGGCTACATAACTACTAACACTGGTTCCAAATACGAAAATTATGTGATTCCAGTTCTGCCGCAAGTAGTGGGCCGCGGACCACCTGAGATATCATCGGTGTAGGCAACCCACACAGACACGCGGCTTAGTAGCAATGAGGCGTAGATATCAGCCACCAACAGGGGGCGCAAAGTGCGAAACAATCATGGCCCATCTTCTCGTGAATGCATTGCGAGGCACATGCTTTTGTAAAGTAGCAAAACCATTAAAGTCTGATGGCCATTTTTGCTGCAGGAGCGTACGATGGCGTTTGTGCTGAAACGTGTTTGCTCCCGTTGCCTTGTTGATGGTCTGGCGTGGTATGCTGTTGGTGAAAGACAACCTGCACCAGCCTAAGTAGCCCAAATCTTCAGAATTCTGATGTTGGCGCCCTATGGTGCGAGATCTCGTAAAGCAACAGAGCCAGTAGTGCAATCTTCCGAGTTTGGAACACCCTGTTAGCTTCCTGAGAGAACTCTGCTCAAAGCGACCTTGTCCAGGCTTATGACTCATAACCTCAATACTGTAGGGGCATAAACAATCCCCAATCACCAATCATGGAGAAGCATATGGAAAAGACTATGGAGCATAAAATGAAAACTGGGTCGATGTACGTAGGGGTTTATGGGGATTGTGGTGTAGAGAAGGCTGCCTTATTATCTAATCTATATGACTTGAAGTCTGTTGGAGGTATCGTGTACCATAATCATACCAGGGATCAAGAATCATTGTGATTAGCAAGCCTCGGCTACACCCCTCAAACCCTCTTAATCTTGATGCCGTTCAAGGCATTCTGAAGGGCTTGCTTTCGGGACTCCTCCTCTAAGAAGGGATTCAGCATTCTAAGATGCACTCAATCAAGATTTCTTCTGGAGGTTGAACTGCTGCGCCCATGGCCCTGGAAGACCATCTTCCTCCTCATCTATCGCTTGCTGGCGCTCCCTAAACCCTAAACCCCAAACCCAGCACCCTAAACCCAAAACCCTAAACGGCAAGAGGGTGGGGCAGGGAATATAATGACTGCTACGCTGCAGGGGCATGTTTCAACGGAAACCGCAACATCCACCTGAAAAGCCTGGTTACTCCCTTTAACGGGCAATTCTACCTCAAAGAACAAACCAAAACGAGGGGCTACAGAGGTGGACATGTGAGGAAAAGTAGACCACAACTAGGGGCTACTTGCTTTCTGGGTACACATTTCCATGCGGAGGCAGATCAGACCAAACCCAAGCTCTGCGTGTTTCCCACTATGTGGACTGCTTGCGCTTTCAAAGCGAATCAAAAGCAACAACTTATCGAGACCTTTACTTTTTGTTGGAAAACCTCGTGGTTCGGGCAAGACATGAATCTTGCAGCACCCAGGGCGGCGCAGGAATTCTTCTCTAGTTTGGTAGAGTGATGGTATAAACTAGGACCCCCTCAAACCTAGGACTAAAAAGGTCGCCCTTTTTTAAATACAGCTCACATTCATAGAGAACTTACGACCCCAACAAACCGGAAAAAAGAAGAAGAAGAAAAAAAAACGGAAGGGGCGAACCGACGGGACCCCGCGATGGGTTGACCACCAAGAAAGCTTGGACGAATCTTGTAAATCCAAAAAACCCAAAACGAACCTTGGCGGATGGACTTGATGTGGACGAAGGGAAGAACAAGGGGGAGTTCCTCGAAATTAGACGGTACCTTGTTAGGGGTCCCTATAAGCAGTTCTCTGTACTCTGGTCCAATCACACTCTTCCGTCTGAGAAAGCCCGACTTATCTCTTGGTACCAAGAAAGTGGCACCAGAGACCGTGAATGGACTTGCAACCGTTCTAGCTTTTCTCAATCTCACCATCTCGCACCCAAGGAAGCGAGACATGTGCGTGAAAAAGCGTATACCAACAATCCTGGTGCCAACAGGCACTTGCACCGCGCCACATCACTCAAACGTACGCACCTCCACTACTGCAGCGCAATCTACACGAGACAAGAGCAGCAGCCCGATGATAAAACGCTATTGGTCGAGGAAAGCTTGCACCCAACATAAGTCCCCCTAAATACTGGGAAGTACTGTAGTTTGAGTACCCTAACTGGTGCAACAGGCAGACTATGCATAACTGAGCCTTTCTCCCTGGAAGCCTAATAAGAATCATAGTATATTGGGGTCTATATTGGGGTCCCCTATTTTTAGGAAACCACCAAGGTTTACCAGGCTGGACCTTTGGACCGTTATGTTCTTCAACTCCTGCCTCTTAGGGTTTAGGGTTCAGGCTTGAGGGGTTTAGAGTTTAGGATTCAGGGTTTAGGGTTCATAGATAGGGATAATGGAAAAGAACATGAAAGTTACTATTTAGGGTTTAGGCTTTAGGGGTTTAGAGTTTAGGATTCAAGGTTTACAGTCAAGGGTTTCGCCAGGGGGAGTTGACGAACCGCAACAGTAATCAAGCCTAGACGAAGGGGAGCGAAGCTTCGACAAAGGGACGAGGGTTGGATATTCCTCAACAACTCAGTGCAGCGCGAGAGAACGAGAGGAAAAACACACAAACAATTCCCGGGCCTTAACCCCAAATCCCCCGGCCTTCACGACATACTTCAATAATAATAATAATAATGATAATACTAATAATAGCAGTTAATATGGTATCTAATACTAATTATAATAGATGATAAAATTAGCAGTTAATACTAGTAATTGACAATAAAACTTAATGATCGTATTTAACTACAGTACTCAATAATAGTAATCACTGATAAAAACAACAAACCCCTGGCCTTCACGGCATACTTCAAGCATAATACTAATAATGATAATACTAATAATGGTAATTACTACTACTACTACTACTACTACTACCACCAATAATAATGATAATAACAAACCCCGGGCCTTCACGGCATACTTCCTAAACCCTAAACCCTAAACCTTAAAACCCTAAACCCGGGCCTTCACGGCATACTTCATGTGAGTATCATGGAGCTGCCAGCATTTGCGGACCTGCCACTGCTAGAGCTGAGGCGGAATTCTCCTCTGACCCCCATATGAGCTTAGTCTAAACACCTAGTAACTAATCCCCATTCATATCCCCCGTAAGGGTCCCCTAATATAGTACCCTTTATTACGAAGCAACAAGTACCTTTTTTGTGAAGGGATTTTTTGCCATGGCGCCGGCACAGTGTTTATTATCAGGGGGAGGCGATTAATCCAGGATATGTTTCTATACGTGTTGGATGTACTGTCCATGCTGCTTGAGACTCACCCTCAGACTGTCCACTGCAAGAAAAACAGAAGTCTCCATCTCTCCCAAAGCAGTGGTAGAATACAGGCGTGTATTTAAGCTATCTCAACGCATTGGAGGACTTGTGTCAAGCTTGAACGCTTTCCTTTCTCCCTATGTTATATAGGGAAATTTAGAATAGTTTCAATTCCCATTTTCAGGCCATGTTAGTATTATTCTCTACATAAACTGCCATTTAGGGTGAGGTCGGGTGAGGTCGCTTTAAATCGCCCAGGTTATAATGGGGCGTGTTGGCTTTACTCGGTCTTGACCTTGCCACGAAATCCAAACTCTGTGCATGAAGCCTGGTCACCAGCCAGAGGAAACCAAACCAACAGCATCTCAAGTTGTTGAAGCCTCATACTTGGAGACCCTAAACCCTAAACCCTAAATGATGTTTCCATGTTCTTCTCCACTATTCCCTAGAACCCCAACATAACCTGCTTGCAACTGTACTTCCAATCCAGATGTTGACTTCAATCGTCACTGCTTTAGCCCGCGACCCCTGAACCCACTCCGAGTTGGGGCTTGACCACTTGTATAATGATAGTAGTAATTGTCTCAAAGTTACTACTACGGTTGATATACAACCCCGTGAGGGGTCTGAGATTTGCCCGCG